TTCTGGTAAGCTGATAGGCCAACCAGCTGCTATCACTATCAACGGAGTTATTTTTTATTCAGTACGAAACGGAATGCAGCACGTCATACTCATGGGGGCTTTACGTTTACTACAGATCGAACATCCAATCGCTGCATAGATTGTTTCGATAAGTATTGTGTAATCGATTAAACTTTCATGGAGTTAATACTCTTTTTGGGATATCTTCTAACCTCCTTAGCAGGACGAACTACTTGGTTACATCGTGCTCAGTGCCATGTTACTTGGTTGTTGTGTTCTCCATACTATAAGCACGTCCTCGTGCCCCTATCAGCATGGAATTAGATAAAAGGTGTCTATTTGGGGGTGTTGCAAGGGCATTTTTTCAGTCAACTATTGGAGAATATCCGAAAACTGGTTGTGGCGAACCCTGGATTCTTTTCTTTTTGTTCGAATACTGCTAGCTGCTTTTTTAGAGACATTGTACATAAGTTCGTAATCCCGTTAGGAGCAACATATCTAAGCGACATGAACATAGCTTACATAGTTATTGCTCTAGGTTCCGGACAAAACAAAAATGCTGAACACATGGAACAAGATGATGAAGCGATGGTATCATTTACAGCTTCAATTCAGAATATTTTAACGGCAGTGTTCACCTTTGCTATGACCTATGCGCAACTATGCGGAGTCCCAGCTTCCAGCACGCAGCGCGCAGTGTGGCTGTGGAGGGTCTGGCTGTGGACAGTCCTCAATTGGTGTTTGCTGCTTATCATGCTGTATATATCCATGATCGAAGAGCCTATGGAAGGTTTCCCTGCTCTTGCTAGTCTGTTGTGTGACGCACAGAGTTCTGGAGCAATCGGTTTCACTTTCAGTGCCAAATCCGGATGGCCAGTAGGTATTGGTTTGCTGTGGGCGGTAGATGGTGGGCGGAGGACATCACCCGTCAGTCTCCAGCCTTCAGACGTCAGGTCAGCCTTCAGACATCTGACATCAGCTGTCCGACATCAACCGGCGAGTCTCTCAGTCTGTCCGTCCGGCGAGTCTCTCAGTCCGTCCGGCGAGTCTCAGTCCGTCTGTCCGTCCGGCGAGTCTCTCAGTCTGTCCGTCCGGCGAGTCTCTCAGTCTGTCCGTCCGGCGAGTCTCTCAGTCTGTCCGTCCGGCGAGTCTCTCAGTCCGTCCGGCGAGTCTCAGTCCGTCTGTCCGTCCGGCGAGTCTCTCAGTCTCTCCGTCCGGCGAGTCTCTCAGTCTGTCCGTCCGGCGAGTCTCTCAGTCTGTCCGTCCGGCGAGTCTCTTCGTCCGTCCGTCCGGCGAGTCTCTTCGTCCGTCCGTCCGGCGAGTCTCTCAGTCTGTCCGTCCCATCTGGCGCCGTCCGGGTGGCCCCAATCAGATCCCATTACCGGGGGCCGGCCCACCGCCGGTCTCCTAATCACCTGGCCCATTAGCCGTGAGCCGGGCCCGACCGGCCGCCGTCCGTCACCTTCAACGTCTCAGGGGTATGGGGACTCGCACCGGCCTCCTCTCACACACACACGGTCGTAGAGCGGACACCATAGGCGGCGCGGTTCCGCTCCGCCGCGTACGACGGTGCGTCTTACCTTGGCTATCCAACGACGGCGAACATCGTCTACCAGACCGAGACGGGGAGACAACCTAATGTAATCATCTCACAGTTGTTGAGTTATATGTAGAAGTTTGCGATGTCAGCAATTCAGCATCTCAGAACATATTCGAGCCGATACGAATCTCAAGGCTGTGCGCACTGAGCATCACGGGCCAGTGGCCAGGCCTCCAGTTTCCAGGATATTTGGACACATAACCGCGTTGCCCTCATCCCATGCCGATTGCAGCGCATCCAAGCTGCTCAAGCCCCCGCTGCCGAGCTACTGATTAAACCATGCATCATCCGTGGCTTTGGACGACCGGTGTAGTTGGCGGTCGACCGCAGGGTCGTTACGTGGCCGCCGGCATTGGTCGACCATCCCGCCGCACCCCTCTGCGTCCCGCGGCAAAGAGTAACACGCTGTCTGTCATCATCATCGGTCGTGTTTCATGCTCCCGTGCGCCCGGAGTTCTGGTGGGATACTCAAGGATCTTTATTCTCTACGCAGTATGGAACGATGTAGTACACACCAGTGGGCTATCAAGGGTTGGTTTCTTCTTGCGCGACTGGTTTTCTTCGCTCTAGTGCGTAATAGACATCGTTTCATTTGTTCAATGTCTCGCGAAATCCTGAGTGATGATCGACAGTTATTTTAAAAATATCGCTACCTGATGACAAATGTGCGCTAAGGTGTGCTGAACACGTCTGCGCAACAAATCACGCCCCATTCCAGTCTCAGAAACCAGGGACGTTTCCGCGTGACCGCTCCGCTCTGGGTCTGCGATACAGCACGAACCTCTTTGCCCAAATCGCCGCTCGTTTTTAGTCTGACGCGGCCCAGACCTCCTCCCCTCCGGAGTGTGCGGAGAGGGGCGTCGAATCGTCCGCCGTAACTCAGTGTAATGCGCGTGTTTTTAGTATGGCTCGCCGCCAGCTCACTCTCAGAGCCCCCGAGATGAAGATGCTGCCGGGGCTTTCTGTGTGCGAGTGTGTTTGTCTGACAAAGCACGGTGCTGTAGCTCAGCAGGTTATCCACTCTAAACTGTGAATTCTTGCCTGAATGTTGATTGGCTGGTTCCTTATGTTGCATAAAGATCCATTGGAGGTAATGCGCCTAAGAAATGTTCCTGCCTGCCCTTGAGAGACTGTCCCTCCTAGATTCCCCGGTGCGCCTATTAGTGTGCAGACCGACCGGGCAGAACCCGAAGGTTGACCTCGAATGTCATTCCCCTCTCTGGCTCGGGCACGATTCCTCTCTGACCGCGTTGGGTGGGCGGAGGTGGAGCGCGGTCGCCCTTCCCCACTGCGATGGACGGCAGACCTCGGACTCGGCAGTGACCGTGCTGGAGTGCGCCCCTCTCCTATTCCTATCCCCCGTCCCCTCGCTGCTCTCCCAGGTCGATCACCAGAGACCGAGGTCACCGGCGCGGGCCCGGTGGGGTTTGGCGGATTCAGTGGGGCCCACTGGTGCTAGAGAAACTCGATAGGGAGGAGAGGGTTTCAGAGGAGGTTCAGATGGGACTCGTTGGGTATATGTAGACCACTTGGTGTGGTCCGGTTTGGTCGCTTGGAATTAAATGGTTCTGACTTCTGGTAAGGAGGGGGCATTTCAGGCCCAATATGGTCTGGGATGTAACTTGCCGGGATCATGTGGAAAAAGTAAGATTCAAGACTTTCAGCCACAAGGTTGCACGTGAGACCACGTTTTTTAACCCTTTTAACGTAAATCAAATGGCAAGTGCCTTGCGTTCCGTTGTGGTCTGGCGTGGCTCTGACCACAGTGAACGAGGCCCGATGGGCCCCACCAGTGAGGCCCACTAGGTTCGCTGGGTTCGTGGACGGTGGAGGTCGGCAGAAGCTGAGTCATGACCTCGAGTCGGGCGGCGGGGTGTCACCTGGAGCCCGCCCACGGACACGCCATGCCCAGTGCACACCGCGGATCGGTCACACAGTGCACTGTGCACCGGCTGTGCAGTGTGCGCTTTAGGATGTGTGATATTGAAATGTGCAATGGGTGCACTGTTCTAATGAACATTGAGCGTGCATTGCTTTACTGACTATTTAGCTATGTAGTTATATTCGATTTATGCACCCATGTTTCATACTATCACGTTTTCTGTCCGTTGAAGTGGTAAGAGATGTAACAGGCTTCGCTCAAGACTGCAGCTCTGAAAGGTATCTAACCTTTTACATGCAACGATGCCACTTTTATTGGCCGCTGCACTTGTGGACTGTAAAGATCATTGATTGAAGGTTATTGGGCTGCAACGCAATGCAAGTTACCCGAACTCCAGCAGAGATAGACATTCAAGGCCTAATATAGGTGCATTCCATACCAGCTCTGAAGATAATCACTAATTCAAACGTTCTTGGAGAAGGACAGGTCTATTTAGGTGCCGTAGGTTTGAACTTTTGGCCACTGTTTTCATCCTGATCACTTCTGCCCATTGTATGTCACAGTGTTACCATTGAACCAGCGTCCGGAGCTGCTTCTTTTCCATTTAATCCAACGTCGGTGGGGGTATTGTTTGTACTCGACTGAACCGCATTTTAATCTCATCATCCATCGGTTCCCTTCTCACGCGCACGCCGTTAATGTGGCGTCAAAACATACGGTTATCGTCGGAAACACCTTGGTATGATGTATCGCAGTGCCCCGGGGACGGATAGCGCACAAAGGGTACCGCTCGGCGCGCGGCGCACGCAGGCAGCAATTTATGCTATAATAAAGCGGGGAACGTCCGAGATTCAGATAGAAATCTGCCCTAATCTTCACTCTGTTCTCTGGTGACTACGTGATAAATTAACCGGTAACGCATCACCAGTCCATTAAATTATATACTAAATTGTGGTGTGATGGGTCTTGTTATTTACTCAGGTTCTAATTAGATGAATAAGGCATAGGCACTTTGTGTTATCAAAATTGCACCGAAGAACATAAAACTGTAGTTGTCAAGAATCTCAGGAATTTGCGCATGTGTTTTGTGTATTTTACACCTTATTAGGTACCGTAAAGTGGGGCTATTTGAGACAGTGGGGCTATTTGAGACAGTATTTAAAATCGCTATAAAATGAAGATCGTTAGATTTTTTCGTGATATTTTTGCTCAGGGAGGTGTGGAATCGAGCAGTTAATTGTCTGTGCAAAAAGTAAGCATAGATTTCAAACGGTTTTTATTTTATAACAACTTTAAATACTGTCTCAAATAGCCCCACTGTCTCAAATAGCCCCACCTTACGGTACCCTTTGGTAGTGGCGCATTTATGTCACCCAAGTCGGACGGACACCTTAGGCCTCATCCAGAATTTTATCGGCTTGGCTTAACTGTTTTCATATTGATGTGACATCTCTTCATCTCGTTAGAAAAAAATGCATACAGAATGCGTCAAGTAACAAACGTCTCTCTGTTTCGCAGTTTTCCACTTGAAGTCGTGGGACAACCGAAGCCCGAGTTCACCTCCCGTCGGCAGTCGGCCACCGCGGCGCGGCCGCTCTCACCAGTGTTCTGTACGAACATCTGCTGTGGTGCAGCGTATACCGCGCCCGGCCTGTGACCAGTGACGTCATTAGCGCCACGGGCGACTCGTGAAACGTGATTCGTGATCCGTGACTTACGCTCACGAACGTGATCTAACCAAGGAAAGTGACACCGCGCTGTAAACTGGGCCAACATGTGCTTTTAAAGCCGGCGAAGTGGTACCACTGACGTCACTATGTGCGATTTAAACTGGACCAGTGACGTCACTATGGGCTGAGTGACGTGTGCCGGAGCTGACTTACGACCAGGTGAGTGGGAGCGGCGCGGCGCTGACATTGGTTGAGTGAGGTCATGGGACTGGTAGCGCATTTTAGTTTCGGGATCTAGTGCATGGTGCGACTTGGCTTGACATTGGATGTGTTGCCTACCTTAATCAATTCAGTAGCGTCCCCGGCTCGAGAAGTTCCTTTTGGTTCTCTGTCCTTTCCGGCCACCGGTTTCTCTCCTCTCGGGATCTGACCAACCGAAAAATGAATCGGCCTCAATGTCAAACTTCCACAATGGTCGGAAACTCGTAAATCTAGCATCCAACGACCCTGTACAATTTAATCTTGCGTGACGTTTTATGGCCTCTCGTCGCTTAGGCTATCGTTTATTTCGCAAGTGCCTCGATGGCTGGCTTTTGTAGCGTGAAAACGTTATTGGAAGGGACACTCACTGCGTGAGGAATAGCAAGGCTGTTAAAATCTCGTTACTAGAGCTGACGGTTGTTATACTTGTGAGCGAGAAAAAGGTTCAGGCATTTGTTATACTCTGTTAGCAGTTCACATGCTCTATGGCCTTTACACTTTGATTGTCAGCTTGACGCCGGTCTCTGTTGTGCCGGACCTTGACCGGGCTGCCTAACGGGGTATTGTGCCGCGGTGTGTCAGGAGGTGGAGGCTGCCCGGAAATGGCCCATTCCCTGGGAAAAGTCCGACTGAAAACTGTCCCATGGTCACAGTGGCGGCCTTCACTCAATGTTAGTCGATGTGTAGTGGAGTGGTGATTAAAGGTAATTAGTTGTCGAGGTACCGCTGACCGATTGGTGTCCACAATGCCATTAAATGCGGGGCTGTCAAGAGGGTCAGTATTCGCCTTCGTTCTGAGATATGGAGACCACATTTTATTGCTGATTCAGACCCTAGAAAATGCGGTTTATCTGTCCAGTGATACCAAATCGTAGAGAACAATGTGCTACCAGCTGTAAATATTTTTATTTGACTACCACATGACCTTGCCTCATGTCTACTGGAATTCCCTAAAGCTTTCCTGATTAGTATTCATCGTGCCCGTCAGACGCTCCAAAACGTGTGATTAATATTCATACCTGCCTTTATAGTTCCCAAGCATGCCTTTTGCCGAGTGCCGACCGACCAGAGCATGTTTTCAATATCACATGGCCACGAATATGTTGTGTTGTTTCTTCCAAGATAATCCCGAATCGTGATCAGGCCAAGTTCATACACATGCCGTTTCACCGTGCACCTGCTAGTTTTTCCTCATAAAACTAAATGCTCTCACACGAGTGAACAAAACACTGGCAGACATGAGGCCTGAGGGTGCCAGGTCTCCCTCCCAAATGCCGTCGCCTCTGTCGCTGCCGCCAATGCACCTGTTGCCGTCAGCATCACCTCCCCATTCATCACGAGACCCGTCCCTCCCTGGGGCGTCATTTCTGTCGCTCTCGTCTCTCTCGAGGCCATTTATTTCTGCGCTCCGACACCTGGCTGAGATAAACCTGTCTCGTCCACTCTGGCGCTCCCGCCCCTTCTCTTCTAGTTGTGTCCCGTCCCGGTCTGGTTTGGTATACATTCAGTGTCGTCCCAGCCCTTGGGCACCGTCCCCTCCCGTCCCGTCTCGTCCTTTTGCTTCGCTCCGTTCCTTCCCAGGTAGGTTACAGGTCGGTCCACATCTGTAGGTACTCTTCGCCGCTCGGTTCGTGTTCTGGCACGGTCCGCCGCTCATCGTTCGGACACTGGCACATCCTGAACATGGTTGGACAATGGACATTATACATGATGCTCCCACCGCACCGGTGAGGGCTCGGCTGTGTTTCCGCGGGTGGGCGAGGCGGGGACAGTGCAGCGCAAAAAGAGTGAAATGGCGCCAGGCGATTTAGATTACGATGACGATGAATGTTGAGCCATTAAGCGACGGCATTGAAGATGGTGAATGGGATGAGGGTAGACTTGCTAGTTGATGTGCGGTGGCCAATTTCAGCCGCTCACGTGATATGCCCCCATCGGCCACCGCTCCAAATAAGCGGCGTCACGGCAGTGGCGGTGGGCGGAGCCGTATCCACGCCAGCCGCCCTCATTGGCCAGGTCGGCGGTGATTGATGTGAGCAGACTTCGGACCCGGTCACGATCTGTTCGTTACCGGTACCTCACGGTGGGGCGCCGAGCGAGGCTCGTGTTTCCCGGAGTGAAGGACGAACTCAGACCGGCGAATTCGCCGGCTGTTTATTTCGGCGGTGCTGGTTAATGAGGATTGAAGCCACGGGGTGTTGTACGCCGGCAATGACGTAGCAGTCCATTGTGCCTTTATTGAGTGACATCAGAAATGAATTATTCCATTGTACTTTCCTTCCTTTCCTTCACATAGGGATACGTTTTGCGTTGTTGCCGTCTGGCACCAGCGGTAACTTTCGGGCGCTGCGGAGGGGCAAATGCCCCCCTGAGGGGGGTCCGAAATGTATTAAAGTTGTCCGAAACCACGGGAACCGGGTTTTTCCCATAGGTCCTTTCAATACCTTTCCAAAATGGTGCGGCAATCGAAATTTTAAAGAACTTTCACCTTGCCTCAAATCGATTGAAAGTTTATCAAATTTAGCCAATTTAGTACTTCATGAACTTTCGCTTTTAACATACGTCCCACAGTTTAATGCGCAATTGATTGGGCCGGTGATCTTGTTTTCAAGGAAAAATAGCTGCACAAATCACAAAATATATTATAATGCATGCCAAGAGCCAAATGATGAAATCACATCATGACTAAATACCATGTGGATTACAATAAATCACTTAAAATATCGCGTATCAAGGTCCCCAGAATAGGAATCGTTTTGGTCTTTATTTGTCCAAATGCGCCATATGCATCGAGAACTTCCACCTCGCCTGAACTGAGTTGAAAATATCTAGGTAAGCCTATGATTTGAGCCGCGGTCTGTTGCGAGTTCAGACGGACCCCCCCCCCCCCCATTGCGGGTAATTACATGCATGTCATGACCCCTCAAGGTTGGCGAGTGGCGCTTCTCACATTTCTTAACACTACAAACAAAGAGGGCAAGCTTCTGGGCATTCCTCCGATGGAGGATGAGGACGGCAAGCCCACCAGCACCGGTTCCGCCCAGTTCCAGTACGTCAAGGAGCTGATAGTCACCTGGAACGTAAAGGACAACATCAGAGCTGTGTCATTTGACACAACAGCCTCTAACACAGGAATCTTCCGTGGTGCCGCGACCAGAATGGAGGCCTTTCTGAACAGGCGAGTCCTATGGCTGGCCTGCAGGCACCATGTGCATGAGCTCGTACAGCGCGCCCTGCAGGACCTGCTGTTCGAGAAGGACAAAGGACCAGAGAACGAGGCATACCTGGCAGTGAAGAACATGTGGTCGTCGCTCGACACGGGACCAGCGGCTTCCTTCAAGAAACTGGTGTTCCGGTCACCTGTGCTGCTCAAGATGAGGGACGAGGCGGCGAAGTACCTGAAGGAGGTGCTGTGTGAGCACAGCGACCAGGTCCTGCTCAGGGACGACTACGACGAGCTGGCCAGAACGTCACTCAGCGTACTACTGGGGGAGATACCGCCTGGTGGCACCAAGTGGATGAAGCCCGGAGTCAGCCACAAGGCCCGCTTCATGGCTGACGTCATCTACACAAACAAGATGTACGCCTTCCATGCCTCCCTGGGGTACGACAAGGCCACCATCGCCGCCCTGCGCAGGGTCGTCCAGCTCAACTGCCTGCTGTACGTCCCGCAGTTCCTGAAGGCGGCTATCGGGGCAGATGCTCCAGTCAACGACCTCCACTTCGTGAAACAGCTACTGCGATACAGGGCGGTGGACCGTGACGTGGCTGACACAGCGCTGAAGGTCCTCCGGAGGCACGGGTGGTACCTGACCCAGGAGCTGGTGGTCTTCTGTTCCACCTTGTCGCTGTTCAGCGACAAGGTGGATGCCGACGAAAAGTCGCGGCTGGCGGCGCGACTGCAGACGTTCCGCGTCCCGGATGACTTCGAGCTGGGAGTCCCGGACTTCCCCGACGTAGATGAGGGCACTGAACTGGTGGACCTGCCTAACAGCTGTACCCTGTTCATGCTGCTCGAAACCGGGACCAGCTGGCTGCAGAGCGGACCCGAGACGTGGTCAGAGGACCCGGATTATCAGGAGACTACCGCCTTCGTCACCACGGTGAAGGTGACCAACGACGTGGCCGAGCGCGGGGTCAAACTCGTCACCGACTATATGGAAATCCTGACGAAGGACGACACGACCAGGGAGTTCCTGCTGCAGGGGGTGGAGCTCCACCGACGCAAGTTTCCAGACTTCCAGAAGAACATAGCATCTGCGTTCTAGACCTAGCGTTCCAGGGCACATGTGGGCAAACATAGACCAGAACGATTCCTATCCTGGGAATATGACATGTGATACTTTACGTGATATATTGCAATCCATACGGACTACGGTACAAAGTCATGATGTGATCTTTTCGTTTCGTTCTTGTAGATTATAATACATTTTGTGATGTTCGCTGCAATTTTTTTCTTCGCAAATGAGGTCGCCCGCACAGCCTATTGCCCATAAAACTGAGGGCCATAGTTATAAGAGAACGTTCATAAAGTACAACATTGGCTAAATTCTTTCAAATTTCGATCGATTTGAGGCAAGGTGAAAATTCTATGAAATTTCGGTTGCCGCACCATTTTGGAATCGTCTTGAAACGAACTATGGGAAAAACTCGGTTCCCGTGGTTTTGGACAACTTTTATGCATCATACGGTACGAAGTCATGATGTGATCTTTTCGTTTCGTTCTTGAAATAGATTATAATACATTTTGTGATGTTCGCTGCAATTTTTTTCTTCGCAAATGAGGTCGCCCGCACAGCCTATTGCCCATAAAACTGAAGGCCATAGTTATAAGAGAACGTTCATAAAGTACAACATTGGCTAAATTCTTTCAAATTTCGATCGATTTGAGGCAAGGTGAAAATTCTATGAAATTTCGGTTGCCGCACCATTTTGGAATCGTCTTGAAACGAACTATG